TTCCTTTAATGAACCCGGGCTTATTTCTGGCCGGATTAGGGTTGATATATCACAATAAACAAGGAGATTGGGATATTAATGCGCCGGGCGGCCCGTGTAAGCGCATTAATCCCCTGCTTTCATTGTTCTTACCAGCCCAGCTGAAATTACGCTCAACATCTGTGTTTAAAACGGGGGGAAGGTGGCTTAAGGGATATCCATTCCCCTTTTTTTTCCAAGGGGGGGGGAGACAAACAACCCCCCAGAGCTGGTTATGTTGTTAGAGGAGTATATTTACAGTTTATCTGTTTAAGAGACCATCTGCGTTGTCCAGTAGATGCTTTAAAATGTGTTGGGGGGGAGGAAATAATAAGCATCGGGATGAAAAACAGATCCTGAAGCATCCAGAGGAGGAGAGGAAACTCTTTGAAGTTTCCGTGTCAAGGGGAATGTGTCCCCTGTTGATCTTTATGGATTTCTCTCTGTAGAGATGGCAAAAAGGGGGGGGATGATAAAAAAGCTCATATCCTGACGTGAATGGTTCAATAGGAGCCATTCCCTATCGATAAAATCAGGCTGCAGCCACTGGCAGGCTCTGCTGGGGAGCTTGGAAATCACTCCCAGGGGTTTTACAAGGTAAAAACCAGAGGTTTTTTTGGCTTCTCTCCTCTACCTCCATCAGATAAATCCATGTATTTCACCTGTTCCTCAGCCTCTTCCCTGATATCACCCAGGGAGAGGGTGAGGAACGCGATGGGGTCTACAACCAAGAGCTGGGAGAGAAAAAACACTCGTGAAAGGTGAAAGGGAGAGCTCAGAGGGTTGGGATTAGGGGCAGGGAATCTCCTTGGGAGTCGTAACAAGTTCCCTCTCCGGTGGTTCCCCATCCTTCACCTGGGAGGGAGGGTCACAGAATCACAGGATCTTCTAGGTTGGATAACAGGTTCCTTCTCCGGCGGTTCCCCGTCCTTCAGATGGGAGGGAGGGTCACAGCATCACAGAATCTTCTAGGTTGGAAGGGACCTTCAAGATCATCTTGTCCAACCGTCAACCCAACTGACAAAAATAGACACCCCCACAACAAACAAGGAGCATCATCACTAAACCATCCCTCCCAGCACCACATCAACCCGGCTTTTGAACACCTCCAGGGATGGGGCCTCAACCCTCTCCCTGGGCAGCCCATTCCAAGGGCTGAGAACCCTTTCAGGGAAAAAAATTGTTCCTAATCTCCAGCCTGAACCTCCCCTGGGGCAACTTGAGGCCATTTCCTCTTGTCCTGTCGCCTGGGACTTGAGAGCAGAGCCCGACCCCCACCTCTCTACACCCTCCTTTCAGGGAGTTGGAGAGAGCAAGAAGGTCTCCCCTCAGCTCCAGCCCCTCAATGTCTTTTTTATGGTGGGGGGCCCAAAACTGGACACAGCACTTGAGGTGAGGCCTCACCAGTGCCCAGTCCAGGGGGACAATCACCTCTGGGGCCCTACTCCCCACACTGCTCCTGATACAGGCCAGGATGCTGGTGGCCACCTTGGCCACCTGGGCACACTGCTGGCTCATCTTCAGCCGACTGTCCACCAACACCCCCAGGAGAGTCCTCCTGTGGGTGTGAGGCCGAGGAGCTGGCTGACCCGGGTGGCTGGAGGGAGTCCTGGGGGTCCTCCTGTGGGTGTGAGGCCGAGGAGCTGGGTGGCTGGAGGGAGTCCTGGCTGTGAAATGTCCAGGATGCCCCAGCAGGAGGGTTCCACCCTGTCTCTTCCTGCCTTATCATCCGCACAGGAAAAAGGAGAGGGAGCAGAAAAACAACCCTGAGCCCCTGGTCTTCCTGGCTTTGTGACCAGACACGGAGCTGAGCCCGTGAGGAGCTGGCCCTGGGAGCCTTCTCCTTCTCCAGGAGAGACTGGAGACCTCACCTCTCCCTTCAGGGACCTCGCTCCCTGCCACCTCCTCCTTGGGGAGGGAGCTGCTGGGATGGAGGGGAGCCTGATGAGGGGAAGGAGCATCACCCTTGGGATTGGGATCCCTGCTTTGGGTGGGATTTTGGTCAGATCACACGCTGCTGTGGGCAAATCCTCTCCTTTTTGGGGCTGTCCCCCCATCTCGGTGACACCAGGGGGAGAAAACAGAGCTCTGAGGTTGTGGAGAACCTCTGACCCGGGTGGCTGGAGGGAGTCCTGGCTGTGAAATGTCCAGGATGCCCCAGCAGGAGGGTTCCACCCTGTCTCTTCCTGCCTTATCATCCGCACAGGAAAAAGGAGAGGGAGCAGAAAAACAACCCTGAGCCCCTGGTCTTCCTGGCTTTGTGACCAGACACGGAGCTGAGCCCGTGAGGAGCTGGCCCTGGGAGCCTTCTCCTTCTCCAGGAGAGACTGGAGACCTCACCTCTCCCTTCAGGGACCTCGCTCCCTGCCACCTCCTCCTTGGGGAGGGAGCTGCTGGGATGGAGGGGAGCCTGATGAGGGGAAGGAGCATCACCCTTGGGATTGGGATCCCTGCTTTGGGTGGGATTTTGGTCAGATCACACGCTGCTGTGGGCAAATCCTCTCCTTTTTGGGGCTGTCCCCCCATCTCGGTGACACCAGGGGGAGAAAACAGAGCTCTGAGGTTGTGGAGAACTTCTTGGTGGTGTTCAGAGAGGCCTCCTGGGTATTGTCTGTCCCCCGGGGTGGGGAGAAGTCAGCCCTTGGCTCTGCTAACCTGGATTTTTCCTGGCAGCTTCCTGGAGGAAGTGACAACTTCAGGTTTCCGTGGCCGAAGCACCGAGAGCTCCCAAACGGCGCCGAGGTCGAGCAGCCGACGGTGAATCCCTGAGGAACCCCATCTTGCCCATCTGGAGCTTCCCACCAGCTGTTTTGGGGCAGAACAGGACATTCCACGGCCCCAAATCCTCAGCTTCTTCTCACAAACCCCAGCTCTGAACGGGACACGGCCTCGGAGCTGGAATTGGAAGCTGTGGAAGAGCCCAGGAATGAGGTGGCTGCGGAGACACCGGGGTCCTGAGCCCTGGAAAAGCCCCCTAATTACCTGGTTTGTCCAAACGTGGGGTTATAATTCCCCTAACGAACACCTAACGATCGTGGCCCAGACTTTAGGGTGGAAGGTGAAGGGAAATGGGGCAGCAGAAGCCCTTTGCTCAGTTGTCTGTATATTTTGAGTCCTATTAAATAATCCGTTTCGACTGAACCTCTTGTCCCTTAAATAATTCCTAATTCGGAAACGCCGCTGGGGTGTAATTACATCCTTAATCTCCTTTATTAACTTGTTTACCTTAAAAAACAAACACGGGACTCCCTGCCCGTGTTTTTTGCTCCCAGGTTATCAACTGGGAAAGCGTCGTGATTTGTTTTTCACAATAAAAACAACTCCAGCAGTGACAAAAAGTGTCGGATTGGGGAAGAAACAAGGAAATGATCACTTTGGGGGGGGGGGGGGGGGGCGG